CTGGGCCGAAACTGAGAATGCTCCTGGGGCTCGCTTGCGTCAGCTTCTGTACGAAATGAGCCTCGTCGCGCCATCCATTGAGGAGGTGTCCTGGGCGCTGCCAGATGCTAAAGAAGGTCCCACGTTCGTCAAGAACGAAGCCTTTCATCGTCTGGACTACATCTTTAACATCCCCCGGCTGGCCCCAGCCATCGCATATGAAATCGCTTGGCAGCTACTAGCGACCTTGCGCCACGCGCGCCTGGGATGGCGCGGGGAACCCCGCGACGCCAGGGGCGCCCGCAAATCCATATCGTTCGAAGCCGACAACGGCGGTCATCAGGGCACTGGCAGATCACTGCCATAGTTTGGCGGGCATCTCGCAGGCGATGCCCATAGGGTCGCCTTGACCAGGTCGATGCTGCAAGAGATTGCACTGCTCGCTTCGTCCGGCGACGCCAATAACTACTATGGCCAAGCGCATGACAGGACGTTGCGCGCCGCAGCCGCGGCACCCCCTACCCGGAAGACTCCCCCAAGCAAACCTTTCACCGATGTTCTCACTTTGCTCGCGATCGGGCGGGGGGGGGGGGGCGAGCAGAGCCATTTTCAAGACCCTCCTTGACAGAGCGGCGCAGGCTCTCTATAACTGGGCCAATGTGATGAGGCGTCCGTGCCCATAGTTGGTTTTCCACTGCGACGGTGAGGCAATTCATTTATGGCAAGCCCTTGAGGCTCAGGTTTGGGGGCCTTGAGTCTTGCGATTTGGATGGTCGGGCTGCTGCTGCCGCGGCTGTTCCCCGTTCCGCGGCCGGGCTTCTGCGAGGGAAAATGGATCTAGATCGATCGGCCCTGCTTGAGAGCATGTGCAAGGAAATGGCCGACGCCATTGACAGTTGCAACCCCTTCCGCGAAGGGCGAATCGCGCGCGCCCTTCAAGCTTTCGGAGGACGCGCGATGAAGGTTGTCAGCGGAGCTCTCCACATCGGGAATGGCCCAGACGGGCCCCCTCTTCAATCTAAGGTGGCTGTCGCCAACTCCGCTCAAGATTATATCGCAGGCAGCGAGGGCGGCGCGACCTTGACTCCGAGTCAGCTTTGAAAGAAGTAGAACGCAAATAATCGACGCTCGGAGCCGCGCCTTGTCTGCCGGGTCGAAAGTCGGATGACCAAGGACGAGCTAGGGTTCTCCGTCGCTCGGGCCAGCGGGCGCGCAGCTGGCGGCCCAGATGGGCTGATCGAGAAATTGCTTAGGCGCGCTCCTGACGAGACGGCTCGCCTGATCCATCCTTCCGCCATGAAAACGGCCACGCACGCCCAATAGCCACTCGCCTCCGAGGGAGGTTGGGCTCGCGAGTCGTGCAAGAGCACGGGGGATTGTGCGAGGCGCGCCAGTTGCTGGCGCGCCCCCCCCCCCCCCCCCCCCGACAAACAGCGCGGCCAAACGTCGTCGCAAGTTCGCGCGAAGACAGATGCAGATACTCTTGGCCAGCTTGCTTCTGGAGACCCAGATGGGGGGGTCTCTGGTCGGGGGGCTGACGTGGCCACCCGCCTGGTTCGAACGTCTACCGCGGTGGCGCGTCAGAAGGCATGTCCCCGGTCATTGTCTGTGAATAGATCTCAAGCCTGCCTTCTGCAGTGTGGTCCGTGCTATTGCGATGCCACGTGTTGACTGATCCTCTGGACTTGGCTGACGCCATCGACGCCGCCGACCTGCCCGAGGCCCTGGCCCCGACTCTCGAGCGCGCGGCGGCTCGACCTACTCGCGCCAGCGCCCGGCTTAAAACCAAGAGTTCCCGAAGAGTTGTTCGGGCGACCTCGGGGGGCAGGCCTGGTAGCTCACCAGCTGACCTGCTCTTCAACCTACGCTTTGTTCCTGTTGTTCGTGCGATAGTGTACTGGGCGGGTGCTAGATGGCACTTGACTTGTTCCTATTATTCGCACAATCATTCGCGCGTTAAGGTCAGACATGGACCTTGGCGGGCACTTGCGAAAGCTTGAGAAGCAGGAAGAGCCGCTCTTCACACTCCCTGGTGACCCTGGAGAGTCGACCGCCTGGCTGGCGGCACCTTTGTCGATGACCTCGGAGCGATGGCGGTCGCGCGCAGGGCAAGGGACCTGCCCTATAGGATTTCGGAGACTGTGCTGATCATCGGTGCGATCGCCAATCGATACGGGATGACTATAACTTTTAAGAAAGGCAAGTCCACCCTCCTTGTGCATCGTCGGGGAGTTGGGCCCAGGCTCATTAGGGCTCAACTCTTTCCTACTTCCAGGGCTCAACTCTTTCCTACTTCCGACCCGCGCCATGAAACCAGCGCGGAAATGACATCTACACCCAGAGGACGCACAAGCATCGTGGAACCATGGCGGCGCTTCATGGTGGCCTGGCGCACGAACCTTCGCACAGGAAGACGCAACGGAAGATCGGAGTCGGCCCGCTCCGAAGGACCATTCTTATGGCCGAGCGCCTCGTAAGAAAGGGAACTCCAAGTACGTCGGTTTCCCTGACGCTGCTGCATAATGGGCACGCCTGGGGCGAGTTGACCAGCTCTGAGGTCACCGCCATGATGACCGCGCCTCGCGCTCCCTTTCGGTGTTCTCGGAATCCGCCTCGGACGCCCTGGCGAGCCCCATGTGTCCAATGAACAGGTCTTGCTCGAGGTTGAAAGGATCCCAGTGCCCATCATACTCAGACGCATGCGCCTGAGGTATCTGGCCAGACTAATGACCTCCGGCCCCCCCACCCCCACCCCCAGCACCGAGCGGTTCTGGACATGGAGTTACAGGCCGAACATCATGGGAGAGTGGGATCAAAGAAAATCTCGCCCGGCTCCAGACACATCGCGATTTCGAAGCTGACAAAACCCTCACGGCGAGAGCGCTTGCTCAAGGTTGCCGAGGATCCGCACGGGTGGAAAAAGAGTGTTCGGCATGCCGCAAAGGTGCACAACAAGGTGGTACACCGATCAGTTCTGACTGAAATATATGCGAGGCTGCCGCCATGCCGCCTCCAGACAATATGTTGGGAAAAGAACCTGTCAAAAAGTATGTCTCTGAGGTTTGCGGATATTCCTGTTTTCGCGTCGGGTCCACGAAGGGTCCCTTGACCAAGAGGCACAGTGACGTTGCGGGACGCCTTGCCCAAGGCTTGGCTTGTCAGGTGTGCTGGAAGGACTTTAGGAACAGGCCGAGAGTTCTCAGGCATTTGAGGGCTGCTGGCACGATGCCTCGAGACGCTCAGACAGGTGAAGGAGCCTATGTCCGATGATCTTTATGAGGCTCTTCGTGCGGATGACAATAACCTTGCTGCGGCTCGATGTTCGAGGGTTCCGTGCGACTGAGGCCGAGGTTCATGTCTAAACCGTCCCGGGGAATGGATGCAGCTGGCTAGCCGCCGATGCGGGTGGATCTTTCATTCCTCCTCCCCCTCCCTTGCCCTCATGAAATATAGAAATCCGCGTGCCATTAACGAGATCCCACGGGGCTCATACAGCTAGCCCACGCAGTGTTGAGCCCAGAGACACCCGATATGTATACTACACCTGTTTAGCGGGCAGCGCAGGCCCGGAGATGTTCAGCATTGCTTCGGGCTTTTCCAGGAGACGGGCCCAGAGACTGACCTAGTAGCAATGCTGTCCATTGATATGGCGACCTGGGGTCGACCGAAGCACAAGAAAAGGCTGTCATTATTGTTTTCCCAAGGCCGTGCTCGAGGGGCTATACTTGGATCGCCCTGCGAGACATGGTCTGCTGCTCGATACGTGGATGCCCCCGAGAGCCCGACATCCAGGCCGCTCTGTTCTTTACAGCACCTATGGGAACGACCGCTCGCCACCTCCAGAGAATGGCGCCAGATCGCTACAGCGAACGATCTGTATCGATCAGCTCTCTATGTCATGTATGTTTGTCTTGCCACGAGTGCGAGCGGCGTGCAGGAATATCCCGCGTGCCCGTCAAATTCAGAAGGCTCCGATCTTGTGGCTTCTCAAAGAAACCCGACACCTGAGAGCGTGAAACCCGTGTTTTTTGTTTGCGCTCAAGACGTGTACCTTTATCAGTGTCAATTTGGTATGCAACCGACAAACCAACTGATGCCGCGGAGAGGGCGATGTTGTTATCCGTTGGGTCACAAGGAACTAGAGGAATGACAAACGGTCGCTGGAATACACAGCAGGCGAACCAGTATCCCGAGGCAATGTGCACCTTTCTTGCCAGGCATGTTGCGTTGCAGTGTCGTCAGAAGCATAAGGAGTGAGGTGAGGTCTGCGTTGCTGACACGTCTGGTGTGAACCCTTCACCTCCCACTCAACCCTGATCTAGAGAGGTTAATCTGTCCCCTGGACCCGTACCTCGACGCGCACAAGATCGGGGAGTACGGCCAGAACTTCTGCGGCAGGTAAGCTGTCTTGTCTTCTTGAATATATGTGCAGCCTGCGGATCATCCCCTTGTGGCCATGGAACATAACAGGAGGAAGAGGAGGAGGACGAGGAGGAGGAGGAGGAGAAGGAAGAAGAGGAGGATGGGCAGGGCGACGGAGGAGGAGGAGGAGGAGGAGGAGGAGGAGTGGGAGGATGAGGACGAAGACGATGACGAGGAGGAGGTGGAGGTGGATGAGGAGCAGGAGGAGGAGGAAGAGGAGGAGGAGGAGAACGACTGGCTCTTTTGGACCCCCTCTTTGCGGGATGCTGAAACATAGGTCAGGGGCCAAGGGGACCAGGCGGTACCATAGAGGCTAATCCCCTTCCCTGCTCTTTCCTCCCTCCCTTTCTCCCTGTGCACGCGCACCCGTGGTGCATGATGTGACACTCAGACACCCCGTATCCATGGTTGCTCGCAGGTAAAAAGGAGGAGGAGATGAGGAGAAGGGGAAGGGGGGAGAAGGGGGAGAAGGGGAGGAGGAAATAGGGGAGGAGGAAGAGGAGGAAGAGGAGGAAGAGGAAGAAGAGGAGGAGGAGGAGCAGGAGGAGGAAGCCCGCGCGCGACACGCTGCCCCTGCGGGAACGCGCCGAGCGCCCGGCGCGCTCCTCCCTCCACGGCGGCGCGCGGGCCTCCGCCAGCGTCATCGTCGTCGTCGTTGGTCGTCGTCGCTGTCGCCGTCGTCTTTGTCGTCGTCGTCGCCGCGCCGCCGCCGCCGACGCCGCCGCCGCCGTCGTCATCGTCGTCGTCGTCGTCTTCATCGTCATCGTCGTCGCCGCCGCCGCGCCGCTGCCGGGGCCTTTGCTGTCGCCATCGCCCTCGCCGGAGCTCCTGGCGTGGCAAGTTCTTTCCCACCGGGCGATCTCGCTCCGAGGCTCGGGCCCCACAGGGGCCCCACGTATCGATCCGGCTCGGCAGGGGCCGCGGAGATGAGGCGTCGCTTGCGGGGGGGGGGCGATGCGGAGGGTGGGGAGCAAGGTATACACTCGGGCCCTAAAGGGCCCCTTTAGGGCCTTGAATGTGGCGTCGCTTAACGGGGGGGCGATGCGGGGGGGGGGAGGCCGATGCACTTTCGGGCCCTAAAGGGCCCCTTGACGGCCCCAAAGGGCAGTTTTTCTGCAGCCCACGCTCCACCCCCATTTATCGCCCTCCCCTTACGCGACGCCCCAAGACCGATGGGATCTAGGGCTCCGGTCCTGAATGCCTCTCGCCATGTTTTATGTGTTCGCGACGTCAGATCTCAGGGTCGCCGTCGCCATCACACTTCCTTGTCCTCGTGCGTCGCTGTCGCCGTCTCCCTCGTCGTCGTCGTCGTCGCCGCCCCGCCGCTGTTGAGTGGGTGGGTGCGATGAGCAGGCTGAGGAGGATCTAAGGATGCACCTCAGCTGCCGCAATGCACCCTCCCGTCCCAAGTCCCCTCCTCGTGAGTCCCTGTCGGCCAGTCGTTCGCGCTGCGGAGAACGCCCCTTTGACAGGCAAGCGCCGCACGGTCTTCTCATTCGGGCGGAGGCCCAGGTCTGCAAGCGGAGCTGCCTTGCATCCTTCGATCTGTGACGAATACCGAAGATGATGGGATCATCAAGCCCAAGCAAGTCCAGGGTCTGAGAACGAGCCGCCCAAGCCGTCGTTGACTGTTACACTAGTCTACACTTCTGGCCATCATACATCAGGATATGCCCCAAGCGGCTAGAGCATGTTGGACAAAAAACCGCTCTCCGACCGTGGAACTGGTTTGCAATCTTGCGCGTCCGTCCCCGTCGTGAGCAATTGAAGTCTCAGGCGCAAGCGTGGCCTTGAGAAGGAGCCGTCCTGCACCCCTGGAGCTGCTGGCGACGCTTAGGGGGAGGCGGTGCCAGGAACGCGGAAGAGGAGAAGAGGAGGAGGGACGGCGGGGGGAGGAGGAGGAGGAGGAGGAGGAGGAGGAGGAGGAGGAGGAGGAGGGGAGGAGGAGGAGGAGGAGGAGGACGGAGGGGGAGGCACGAAGACGTCGCCGGTCCCTGGCCTGGTAAAACTCCTCCACGTACCGCCGCGCCACCGCGGCCGCGTGAGCTCCGGGGGCTCCCTGATGCTCGAAGACCTCCACCTGGGCAGCCACTTCTGACCTCCTCAGCTTCCCCCTCCTCCTCCTCCTCCTCCTCCTTCATCTCCCTCCGAAGTCCTCCCTCCTCAGAGGAGGAGGGCCGCTCGGGACAACAGCAGCCTTCCCGATTGGAAATGTTGCGTCCGCCCTGGGGTTTCTGGAAGCTTATCGTCGCCACAGCTAGATCCGCCTCGATCGAAAGACTGGGTCCCAGGCATGCGACGTACTGATTTTTTCAATGCAGGGTCCCTGGAAGCCCCAACACTTTCCCCGGGACTGGCTTTTCATCCTGAGCCATTTCTTGACGGTCACGAGGCCCAGCGAGGACCCCCCGAGGCCGAACATGGCCGAAAACATCCCGTCCTAATATTTCTACGACGCGGAAAACCTCCCGTCCTGTTTTTCCCAAACCTCCTGTGTTGGGTTCTCGTTTTGGATAGAGCAGTGTGGTCGCCCCGTCCTTCCGCCTTCCTCCTCCCCTCGCCTCCCCTCCTCCTTCTCTCCTGCTTCCTGTGTTCCGCACTCCTCTTCTCTCGTGCCGTCAGGCTGCGATCTGCGCAACTGTCGGCACTTTCGTGGGCTCCTGGGATGCCCAGCGGAGGTGCGTCATACGCGGGCCACCACTATAGCTCGCGGTGCCCTGGGGGGGCTGCATCTGCGCAACTGTCGGCACTCTCGTGGGCTCCTGGGAGGCCCAGCGGAGGTGCGTCATACGCGGACCACCACTATAGCTCGCGGTGCCCTGGGGGGCTGCAATCTGCGCAACTGTCGGCACTCTCGGTGGCCCCTGGGAGACCCAGCGGAGGTGCGTCATACGCGGACCACCACTATAGCTCACGGTGCCCTGGGGGGCTGCGATCTGCGCAACCGTCGGCACTTTCTTGGGCTCCTGGGAGGCCCGGCGGAGGTGCGTCATACGCGGACCACCACTACAGCTCGCGGTGCCCTGGGGGGCTGCGATCTGCGCAACTGTCGGCACTTTCGTGGGCTCCTGGGAGCCCCAGCGGAAGTGCGCCATACGCGGACCACCACAAACGCCCCGTGTGTGTGTGTGTGTGTGTATGTGTGTGTGTGTGTGTCCGTTTTGTATTTTCGCCGCTGCTCTTCTTGCTGCGCTCTTCTGAATTCACTGCCGGGTGCTCTCCTTGCGCGCTGCGAGTCCTTCAGAATGCCAGTCAGCATTGAATGGTCCTGCGTAGACTCGCCGCATGTACAGAAAGGGTTGGGTACGTCGCAGGGTAATTTTGCGACGCGATCACGTCTGGGGTCAGGATGGCCCCCAGGAGGGGGCCCGGGGAAGCGCTTCGCTGAGAGCACGAAGGGCAGGACGGTAATGGCGCGCTTTCGACTCTTACTCTGGCCCTCCTGCGATCCTTCCCCCTGCTCTCGCAGTAGGGGCCCTTCCACAAGAGGGGCCGTCCACAAGAAACCCAACCCTGAGACCCCAGGACGTCCATTGATTTTTGGTGTAGCAAAACCATCGAAACCCAAGACGCCCAGGGCACCCTGGAAGCAAACAAGGTGTTTCTTGGCATAGGCCTCCACTGTAGGTCGGGCATGTCCTCCTACAGGCACGACTCTTGTAATACACATGAAACACAGTCAAAACATACTCAGAAATACTAAGAAACATTGTCGGCAAATCGCCCCCGAACTTGTTGCTCGACAATTCTTGCACAGTCCTCCTGTCGAGGGACGCGCCCGAATGAAGCTTACCCACCCGGTCGCACATTGTCGGGCTCGCTCATGCTCAGTGCGGCCCCACCACCGCGACTTCGCAGGCATCGCACTTGGCCCTCCTTCGGGGGTGCCGCCAGGATGCACGACACCGCGTCGCTCGCACCCACAGGGCTGGGACCTTTCAGGCAGAATAGCGGCTTCCGTGGGGCGGGCGCGCCCCTGCTCGGAGCCGAGCCGCCCGCGGGGCTGGACGCGGGCCCCTGCGCGCACAGACTGCCGGGGCCTTGCCTCAAGTCGGGCGCGCCCCCCTACAAGTGGATTTTGGGCGAAGAATAGGAAATACCCCCAAAATCCCCCCCAGTGGGCAAAAATGGTCAACAAATCGTCCCCCAGACAATTTTTTGACGATTCTTGACTATTCCCCTCCTGTAGAGGGACAGGCCCGACTGCAGCCTTGCAGGCAGAGCTGCCGCTCTGGGGGGGCAGGGACGCGTCTCTCCACGGAGCCCCGTGCTCGCCGCGATGCCGCGGACGGACATGGCGCTCGGGCCTCCCAGGGGAGGAGCCGCGCCGCCGGGGCGCAGGGCGCGGGCCCGCTCGCGCCCCTCTCGTCGGGCACTCGCGTGCGGGGTGGCCGCCTCGGGAGGGAGGAGGAGGAGGAGGAGGAGGAGGAGGAGGAGGAGGAGGAGGAGGAGGAGGAGCAGGAGGAGGAGGAGGAGGAGCAGGAGGAGGAGCAGGAGGAGGAGGCCCTCGGCGGCCGCATCGGCCGCCCTGGGAGGCCCTCCGGAGGCCCTCCGGGGGTGGGGCGGGCGCGCCTCTGCTCAGGGCCCCGTGCTCGTCGGGATGCACCGGGCGTGGAATCCTCGGGGCCTCCTGGGGGGGAGCCGCCACGGGGGCGTGGCAAGGGTCTGGTCGCGCCGAGACCGTCGGAAGCTCTCAAGCAGAGAGGTCGTTTAGGGAGGGTGGGATGCGCATCCCCTTCAGAGCCCCACGATCAGCGCCCTAAAGCAGGCAGACACGGAATCTGTGCACCTGATAATCAGGAGCCGCCAGGGGGGTATGACGCGGGTCCGTTCCGCCAAGTGTCGGAGCTTCTAGGTGGCCATATGTGAACCCTACCCCCACCTCCCACGATTTCTAAGGGGGGATCATGTTCACATGTGGCCACCGAATTTTTTCAGCAGAATTGTCGCTCTGGTAGAGGGGGTAAATCTGTCTCTCCCCATCCAAGCCCCAAGACCACCACGATGCAGCAGGCATGACGCTTGCGCCTCCCAGGGGAACTACGCCAGAAGATTTGGCACGAGCCCGTTCGCACCCTGATTGCTGGGACCTATCGGGCAGAATGGATGTTTTTGTTCCTGGGGGGTAGACGCGTCTCTTCTCTTTCAGAGCCCAACGTTCTGACCCACTCGTGCCCAGAGTGTCGGGACCTCTCTCAGGCAGCATGGACGTTTCCCAGACATGCGACGTATTGTTTTTTCCATACGCGGTCCCCGGAAGTACCGACCCTTTCCCCAGGATCGGCTTTTCATCTTGAGTCGTTTTTTGACAGTCCTGGGGCCTGGCGAGGGCCCTGAGAGGCCGAACCCTATGAAAAACCTGCCGTCCTGATTTTTGTTTCGCGGCGCGAGCATGTCTGGGTCCGGGGGTGGACGTTTCCTCCTTGTCTTCCGTCTGCTCCTCCTCCTCCTTCTCCTCTTCCTTCTTGTTCGCTCCTCCTCCCTCCCACCCTCCCTTCGGGGTGCCCTTCCTTGCGCCTTCTCGTCCTCCACGCCCCACCCCACCAGGGCACGGGCGGTTCCAGGAGACCCGCGAAAGCAACGGGGGGGGCCCTGGTGGGCAGGCCCCAAAGGAGTCGAAGCCGACGGGGGGCGCCTGGAGGCCGCAGGCAACCACAGGATGTCCTTGGAGGCCCCCAGGAGGTCCCAAGAAGTCCGGAGAGGCCCCAGGCGGCGCCAGGAAAACCCAGGGAGCCCATGACGGGCCCCCGTGAGGCCGAAAGAGGCCCCAGGACGCCCTCAACTATGTTCTGCTTAGATGTACTCATACTCCGACCCACTGAGAGCCAGACCCGCTCATATTCAGCTTCTCGTGCGCAGAATTTATCCCAATCAGGTCGTTCCTTAATCATACGCGCACTATTACACTCCCTCGTTCTCGCCGCTCTCATGTTCAGACCCACTCAGCCAACATTCAGACCTCGCTCACGCTACGACTCACTTACGCCATTTCTCACTCCTACCCTACGAATGCCCAGACTCAATCACACCCAGACGCAGTCATGCTCATACCCATTCATTTTCAGGCTCTCTCATACCCAGACCTCCACAGTGCAACACTGATATTCTACCAACCATTCTCAGACTGGCGCATGTTTAGACCCATGCGCAATGATATTCACTCACATTCCGACCACCTCACACTCATATCCCCTCAGACGGAATCGCTCATGGCCACACTAACTCCTTCAAAACTTCACCTTAGATCCGCTCGCACCCTGACCTGCTCACACTCAGAACCGCTCATACGCAAACCCAATCATGCTCAGAGCCGTTTGCATTCAGACCCGTTCACACTCAGACCGACTCGTACTTACTCAGACCCTCCTAGAATTAGCAACTCGTACTCAGACCCACTTGCACTATTCAGACGCACTCGTGCTCGGCGGCTCGTTCTGAATCGAATACTCCACTCCAGATCGCTCATACTCAGACGCCCACCAAGGCAAGCGCCAGAAAAGAGATGCACGTACGGGGATCTCCGCGTCGAACAATGCTCTCCTCTGAAGCCCCTCCCCCCCAAAACCTCGCACAGGGTCAGGATGGAGCCCGGGTAGTCCAGCACCACGCCGATCCAGCGTGCCTGTCCTTAGCAGCCCTGCATGGCCGGTGCGATTGGCCGCGCCTGGCATCATGGCTGGGATCGCAATCGCGCGGCGATTGCTCAGAGGCCCTCGCCACACACGCCTGGGGAGTCCTCCCGCTCACTAAGACGAAGCCAAGACGCGGTCAAACTCAGGTGAGGGTAAGTCGAGAATCTCCTTGATCAGGCAGCTCTGGAGAATGTCTCGGGCGTCGCGGCCTTCTCAGAGCCCTCCGGAACGCTCTGGAACGGATTCATCCTCGTCGTGGCCGCGTCCGACTCCTCCTCTAAGAGAAGGGCAATACAAAAAACAAGATCAGGCCTGGCGGGCGCTGGCAAAATTGCTCGCGGCGTGCGGAGGCAAGAGGGCAAAGAACACAAAGGGCTTGTGGCCCTTCCGTGGCCCCATCTGGTCGAAATCGGCGCGTCTCCCCCCAAGAAAGCCGGCCACAGCATCCCCACAGTGGAAAGCTGCCGTCCCGTCGGCCAACGCCCTCCCAGAGCGGCCAGCCAAGGCCGATGTCTCGGGCTCCGCAGCCTTCCCCAAGTTAGGTCGGGCATGTCCCCATTCGGATTTTGGACGACACATGGAAAATATTCAAACAATGCCTCAACATAAAAGAGAGAGAGAGAGAGAAAACAAAAAATCGTCCCCAGGCCATTTGTTTATTTCCTCCTGTAGAAGGACACGCCCGACTCAATCCCAGAGCATCCTGGAGAGTTCTGGGAGTGATCCACAACTGCCTCACGCGTGCCCCCCTGCCCCTTGAAAAGAGCAAGACCTGCGCAAGCATCAGCTTTCGGAGCTCCGCGTGGATTTCTTGGATCGGCGCTGGGCCCCCCAGGGGCGGCGACGTGAGCGCCGCCAATGGCAGCCGTGCCGTCACGAGTTCGACCGGCAGCGAGGCAGCAGCGGCGCAGCCTGTCAGATGGCCGCCTGCTACTGGAATGCGCGCGCCGTCATCGAGACGGCCCAGGGAGACGACACTCGGGATGTCGCTCTTCGACTGCTTTTGTTCGACCTCGATGCTGGCACTGGGGACACGTAGACGTTCCTCGAACCGCCGTGCGCTGCTGAGCATGCGTCGCGCCAGAGCCCGCATCTCCCCGTCCTAGCTGTGCCATGGCGCTGGATTCTCCAAGGCAACAGCGGGCTCCCTGGTCATGCCCTCGTGCGCTTTTGGGACTCGGGGCCCCTGCCTACCAACGGCGATGCCCTGGGCTCACCGAACAGCGCGGCGTCGGCCCTGGTGCCTTCAGAAGTCGCCCGGGGCCCACGCCACGCTGGACCCCTTCACGCCCAGCAGCAGCTGCGAGAAGCGGTCGGGGCCCGCGGCGCCGATGCGCATCAGCATGTCCTCGAAGTCGCCCACGCGCCGCTCGCCCCCGGGGCCCGACCAGTCGTGCTGCACGAACCTTACCCAGCATGGAACATCTCCCTATCCCTATGCTGGGCACCTCCTCATCGCGATGCCAATCTTAGGAATTCCCTTATTTTTTGAGGGCGAATCCCTAAGATTTTCATCGCCTTTTGGCGTGTCAATCTTAGGGGTAGGGATACGTTCAAAGCTGGTAAGAACCTGCCCCACGGGCCGTTCATCTCCGTGAAGTTCACCACGGCGGCCGCGCCGCGGAGGCCCTCGTGCGGGGCCACCCGCGCGTGGCACGGGCAGGGAGGCAGGGTGGTGTTGTACCTGCCGGGCAGCCCACACAGACCAGCGCGCTCCACGGCTCGCGAAAGAACTGCTCGCAGATGGCCCGGATCCGCCGAGGGGGATGTTCGATCCGCGCGTGGAGGCAGAAGCTTGTTGCTTTATGCCTTTTGCAGGAAGGCGCTGTGCGAGCAGTGGAGCGCGCTCGGCGACCAGAGGCTACCGATACCGCTATACTCCCATGACCTCTCCCATGGGTGAGCTCTGCCCAGAATCTTGAGGCGAACCCAGCAGTGAGAGCCTCGCGGGAGGCCCACGAGTAGGGGAACAAAAAATGGCATAAACATAACAACTCTGAGGTCCGCGCGGATTTCTCGGATCGGCGCTGGACCCCCTCCCTGGCGCGCGGAGCGCGCCAGGGGCGGCGCCGGAGGCGCCGCCATGGGGGCCCCAGCGCCGATCCGAGAAATCCGGGCGGACCTCCGAGTTCTCACGTTTAGGCCACTTCTTGTTCCCCTAACGAGGGCGAGAACGAGGCAAGTGTGGTGGCATCGGTACCGTTTCCATCCTCTGAAGCACCTGCCAGGGAACAGCAGCTCCGTCAGCGTGCCCTGCTCGGCGGGCCACGCGTGACGCGCCCGCGGGTCGTGCCGCCCGGACTGGAGCCAGGCGTCCAGCAGGGCGCCGCCCCGGGGGCCCGCCTTCAGGAAGAACACGCCGGCGTTGACGTGCCGCCAGGGGGACCGGAAGCCTCGGGGCCGGGGGCGGCCGTCGCCCAGGAAGCTGAAGAGAGGTGCCTCGCCCGGGGAGAAGGCCGCGGGTATGGAGGCCTCCTGCGCAAAGATCGCGCTCGCCGCGGCCACGGGCCCATACCTCGCGGCGAGGTCGCCGAGGAAGGCGGGCAGGGCGAGGTCTGGCTCCCGCACGACGGCATCCGTGTCCAGGTACAGCACCCAGGTGCACCCGCCGGAGCGGGCGAGCTCTGCGAGGCGCTCCTTCAGGTACAGCAGCTTCAGCCAGTTCACGTTGAAGGGCAGCGGCGACGTATTGACCGCTGGCTGGATGAAGCGGAAGGTGTATCCGAAGCGCTCCGCGTACGCGCGGTTGATGACCGCGGCCATGGCCCAGTACGCGTCCGCGTCGAAGCCGCTGGGCATGCTGCGGGTGTCCAGCACAGCAAGACGAAGCCAAGACGAGGACGACATCGGGTGAGGACGAACCGAGAATCTCTGAGATCCGGCGGCTCTGGAGGATGTCCCGGGCGCCGCGGCCTTCTCGGAGCGTTTCAACACGCTCTGAGAGCGTTCCAGAAGGCTCACCCTCGTCCTGGCACCGTCCGACATGGTTATCTCGTAGGCGCAGGCCGCCCACTGCTCCGCCGGGGCAGCGCTCGCCGCGGCCCGTGGGCCCCCGAGCCTGATGGGCAAATTTCCCACCACTACTACCATCTGTAGGACGGGGGAGAAGGGAGGAGTAGGAGTAGGAGTAGGAGGAGGAGGAGGAGGAGGAGGAGGAGTGAGGAGGGGGAGGAGGAGGAGGAGGAGTAGTAGAGGAGGAGGAGTCCTCCTCCTCCTCCTCCTCCTCCTCCTCCTCCTCCTCCTCCCTCTCCTGCCCGTGGTGGTGGTGGTGGAGGAGAACATGGGCCCCTCCAAGCCTACCGGCCAGCGCCGGCGGCGCCCGCGGCGCCAGCAGCAGCGCCCGCAGGGCAGCGGCGCAGCACGCGCTGGCGCGCAGGCGGGCCCGCGGGCCCCCGCGGGCGGGCCCCGCCATGGCGGGCGGCGCTACATTCTGTGGCCGCGGGGCCCCGCCCAGGTGCGGGCCCTACCCCGAAGAGGCCAAAAGGAGCGGCGAGCAAACCCAGACCCCCTCGGCGGGGTCACGAACCAATCGCGGCGGGAGGCTTTTCGCTACGTTCGGTTTCCGGGGGCCCTTCCCGGTCCTCGGGACAATCAGAAAACGACTGAGGATGAAAAACCGGTCCTGGGGAAAGAGTCTGGACCTGTGGGGGTCGCGTCATGGAAAAAATCATGACGTCGGGGGGGGAAAGGATCTTATGGGACGCACAGAGACATACTGGGTACCATATGTCCTCCTTGGAGGCGCGCGTCCAACCCAGACAGATTCGTAAGCCCATCTTGCAGTACATCGTCTCCCCAGCCGCGTGGCCAGAAAACGCCGGCCACGACGCATGCACTAGAAGCCGCCCCGGTGTGCGCGTCGCCCCTGTGGGGGGCGACGCACACTCAGTATTATTGTGATGGGGTGCCGCCGATCTTACGCGAGATGACGCAGCGACCTCACGCCGTGGAGATGGCTCTATCCCCTGCGTCGACGCAGCGGCCGAGTTCTCTATAGACGTATCCACCCCAAGTGTGTCCATAGGCGTAGCGCCACCCCGTGTGTCCATAGCCGCTTGTGGCTAGAGGGTGAGAACCGTCCTTGGCATATGCACCAGGCAGTGGCCATCTAGAGGCAAATAGACGTTGTCCTCCAGCCCCTGCCGCCGCCAGGGGCCGCGCGGACCGATCGGGCGACCACGGGCAATGCGAAGGACGCTGCGGGCCGGGCTGCCGCCGCAGTCGGCCTGATGGGGCAGCGGGCGCGCGCCGCACTAGGCCCCGAGGCGGCCCGCTGACCGCACCCTCTGGGACCTCCTCCTCCTCCTCCTCCTCCTCCTCCTCCTCCTCTCCTCCTCCTCCTGAGGCCGGACACCATCCTGCCTCCTCGCTCTCCCCCGCCTCGTCTGCCCCCCCTTCCCCCTTCTCATTCCCCCATTCATCCCTCAGAGGGGTGCAGATACCTTCTCCATCCGCCTCATAGGACAGGGGTAGCCGAAGAGGGGGATGGCGGAGGGAGTGACAAGGGCCCCACGACGACGACGACGACGACAACGACGACGACGGCCAGCACGCGGGCCGTTTCCGCCCCAGTCTGCCCGCGCGAGGAGAGCATCAAGGTTCCCGCCGGCTCCCACTGCCCTCCCCCCCTTGCGCTCTCCTCTCTACCTCCTCCTCCCGCGTCCCAGGGCTGGTAGCCCAAGCTTGCTTTCGATGTGGGGCTGCTAGCCAGGGCGGGACCTCGCTAGCATCCCCCATGAACAGGCTGCGAGTTGGGGTCTCCCCAAGCAATGGGCGTCCCCCATTGGCAGTCCCAAATGCGGCCAACGGCCCCGAGGGACTGCTCAATGGCGGCCCGCTCGCAGTCCTGGGAGTTTGGTCAGTGATCCTCCTCCTCCTCCTCCTCCTCCTCCTCCTCCTCCTCCTCCTCCTCCTCCTCCCTCCTCCTCCTCCCCCTCCCCCTCGTCCTCGTCCTCTTCCTGCTCCTCCTCCTCTTCCTGCTCCTCCTCCTCCTCCTCCTCCTCCTCCTCTCCTCCTCCTCCTCCTACTGCTCCTCCTCCTTCTCCTTCTCCTTCTCCTCCTCCTCCTCCTCCTCCTCCTCCTCCTCCTCCGCCTCCTCCTCCTCCTCCCCTTCATTATCTCCCCTCCTCCTCCCCCTTCTCCTTCTCCTTCCTCCTCCTCCTCCTCATCCTCATCTCTCCTCCTCCTCCTCCTCCTCCTCCTCCTCTCCTCTCACAGCATCACTCAGCATCAGCATCAGCTCATCTAGCATCACATCAGCATCAGCATCAGCATCATATCAGCTTCATCTCATCATCATCATCATCAGCATCGCATCTCATCATCTCATCATCATCTGCATCATCATCATCATCATCATCATCATCATCATCTCATCATCATCAGCATCATCACATCGTCCATCATCATCATCATCATCATCATCATCATCATCATCAGCATCAGCATCAGCATCAACATCATCATCATCATCATCATCATCATCATCATCATCATCATCATCATGTCCCGCCTCATCCTCCTCCTCCTTTTCCTCCTCCTCCCTCCTCCACCTCCACCTCCTTCTCCTCCTTCCCCTCCTCCTCCTCCTCCTTCTCCGCCCTCCTCCTCCTCCTCTTCCTCCTCCTCCTCCACCTCGTCCTCCTTATCCTCCTCTTCCTCCTCCTTATCCTCCTCCTCCTCCTTATCCTCCTCCTCCTCCTGGCCCCCTCCTCTTCCTCCTCCTCCTCCTCCCAATCCCGCTTCTCCCTCTCGTCCTCCCTCCTCGTTCCTCCCTCTTCCTCCTCCTCCTCCATCCATTCTCTTGTTGAATGAATAACTTCTCCCTGTCGCACCACGAAGCCAGTTTTTAGGGCAGGCCCGGCATTTCGCATGAGACGTCTCACCATTTATGACCCTGAAACTTAAACGGTGGCAAACGGTTTCACATATGGAGGGGGTGTCGTTTTCAACATGTCGCTCTCGCCTCAGCGCCGCGCACGTTCGTTGAACTATTCGCAAGGGTTTCACGGATTGAGGGCCACCCGTTTTCAAAGTGTGGCTCTCGCCGTCGCACCGCGCACATTCGTTTCAAATGTCTGCAAGAGTTTCACGGATTATGGGTTATGGGCGGCTCCTTTTCAAAATGTAGCTCTCTCATTAGCGCCGCGCACAATATCTGCACAACTTTGCAAGAGTTCCGCGGTTCCAATGATCAGTGTACCAGAATTGGTTTTTGGGAAGTATTCAAGATTCTGAGCGCGCAACGGTTACGTTGATTCGCGGTGTCGAAGTCCCATGAATGGCGTTCTGGAGCGATTCAGGATCGTCAAAACGCAACAGGCAGATGGATCCGCGGCGTTGGAATCCCGATAACAATGTTTTGGCACGCTTCCGGGTCTGCAAACGGTTCTCCTCCAACGCGGAAGTTCCCTCAGTGGAAATGAACCCTTGCAGGGGCCTCTGGAGAAGGAGCTTGGAGGGAGGGTTGATTCCAACATCTTTGATGAACACTGGTGCTTTTCCTCCTCCTCTCCTCCTCCTCCTCCTCCTCCTCCTCCTCCTCCTCCTCCTCCTCCTCCTCCTCCTCCCCCTCCTCCCTCCTCCTCCTCCTCCTCCTCCTCCTCCTCCTCCTCTCCTCCTCCTCCTCCTCTTCCGCCTCCTCCTGCTCCTCCTCCTCTTCCACCTCCTCCCTCTCCTCCATGTCCTCTCCTCCTCCTCCCCCTCTTCCTCCCTCCTCCTCCTTCTTCTCCTCCTCCTCCTCCTCCTCCTCCTCCTCTTCTTCCTCTTTCTCCTCCTCCTTCTCCTCATCCTCCTCCTTATCCTCCTCCTCCTCCTCCTCCTTCTCCTCCTCCTCTTGCTCATCCTTCTCATCCTACTTTCCTTTCTCCCCATTTCTCCTCCTCCTCCTGTTGCTCCTTCTCCTCCTCCTTCTCCTCCTCCTCCTCCTCCTCCTCCTCCTCCTGACACGCTAAACAATGCGATCGCGTAGCGCATCACTCCGTCCCGCTGGTCGGGAGGCCGGGAACAGCTCGGGACATGTCGGGACGTCAACGCTTGGGAATGGGGGCGTGGATGGCGTGTCGCGCCGAAGCGCGGTGGGCCAGAACCGGCGAAGCAACACGCGAAGCCACAATTCCTGACCCTACCTCCGCCGTCGTGGCTTTGTCCAGACGGGGTTCGCGACAGACGCGTCTCGCCGCGTTCGGCCTCCAGGGGGCGTGCCCATCTGGGCGCAGGCGCCGTCACGAAGCGGGCGTGGGCGAACAAGCGGCCCCTCGGGAGGGGGCCCGGCCTGCTGCAGAGCCCGAGGTGAAGAAGCCACGGCGCCCAGGGCCCAGGCCTCGGGGCGAGCATGTCTGTCCCGGGAGTCTGGCCCTTCCCCGAGCGTGTGCTCGAGCGGCCGGCCCCCTCGCAGGTCCCCTGAGCCGTTCACCGGTAGAGCGCTCGGTGGAGGAGAATTCTCTGGCAGGGGGGGGCGGGCAGGGCGCTGGCCAGGGCCTGGGTGTAGAAGAAGAAGGAGAATACCCAAACAAGAGACGAAGAAGAAGAAGACAAGAAGAATAATAAGAAAAATAATAATAAACAACAGAAACGTAAACTCTTGGCGTTCCGCGCGGAGATCTGTTGGATCCGCGCCGATTCCCCCTCCCTGGCGCGCGGAGCGCTCCAGGGGCAGCGCTGGAGGCGCCGCTGGGGGTCCCAGCGCGGATCCAAGACATCTCCGCGCGGAGCGCCAACAGTTTCTATGTTTCTGCCGTTTTTCCTTCTTCGAGGGCGTGCACTGCGGTTACCGGAGGAGGCAGCATCACGAAAGGAGTGGCTTTTGTGGCCAGGGCGGGCGTGAGCCACGAAATACGTCGGCACCCCGACTCCTGGCTTCGCCAGCCCTGTGGGGGGCCTCCTCGGCGTGGTGAGCCCGCTGCCCCTCCTCTCAAACTCGAGGGCGCGCAAACATGGATTGACGATCCATGGATTTGGCGCGCCAAATCCATGGATCTGCGGAGGTGCCCTCCCCAACATGTGGCCGGTGCCGCCTCGTTCGGCGGCGGGAATCCGCGATTTCCCATGGAAACGCGACCCGTCGCTAATCCACGCCCCCTTGATCCATGCTTGCGATCGCCTGACAAACTGAGGGGCAACGATCGGCGGGTACTGGCATAGGGGGGACACATCGACCTGGAATCGGCGATAGACGCGTCGCCGAGAGATCGGCGATCGGCCCCCGATAGCGAAACCGCACCTTCCTGGGCGGGGAGGGGCCATCAGACCCCATATCGGCGATCAATGGGCGATCGGGGATCGATGCGTTCCCCCAATGCCTATCACCCTCCATCGTTGCCCGTGACAAGCCCCTCTTTTGGGAGCCCGGCCCCCCCCAGAAAAGCTCCCACGCGCGCCGAAGTTGTCCCAGAGGGCCCTCAGATGGTCCAAGATGGCCTCCAGATGGCCACAAAATGGCCACGACACGGCCCAATATGGCTTCAAGAAGGCCCACGAGGCACCAAGATGGCCCAAACAATACTGCCCCAACAGGAACCTCAAGAAGGATCTCCGATGCAAAACCAATGATTTCGAATAAGTTGTTCCCCCGATGTGGTTCTCGCCTGTCCGAAAGTCAGCTCTCTGGGCGCGTGCCTGCCTATACTTTCTTAGACTGACTTAGTATGGCGCCATCTGCTTTCAGAGCGGCATGCCACGCGTTACGACCTAAGGTCGAGGCGCCTTCAAGGTCTAACGGTGTTTTTCGGCACCTAAACCACGAGCATTCGACACTTAGGATACTACGCCCATATAAACACCATTAGGTAAAAAGGAACCGAAGTGAGGCGACTGAACATAATCGTCGCCTCCTCCTTTTTCCGGCTGCTCCTGATTCTCAGCCGTCCCTCATCCTCCTGCTCGCTTGTTCGATTTCCTCACAAGTCGATGCGGCAGCTCAGCGCGCGCCGAGCTTCAAACGTAAGTCCGCTTATTAGTATGATTCGTACTGCTGTGTTTTAAGAGTCTTAGTAGTAGTAATAGTAGTAGTAGTAGTAGTAGTAGTAGTAGTAGTAGTAGTAGTAGAACTACTAGTAATAGTAGTAGTAGTAGTAGTAGTAGTAGTAGTAGTAGTCGTAGTAGTAGTAGTAGTAGAAGTAGTAGTAGCAGTAGTCGTAGTAGTAGTAGTAGTAGTAGTAGTAGTAGTAGTAGTAGTAGTAGTAGTAGTAGTAGTAGTAGTAGTAGTAGTAGTAGTAGTAGTAGTAGT